CCACGCAAAATCCTTACCTTTGGAAGGGTTGGCGCGAGTTGATGGGACCCCGCGAGTTAAACTCGCTTCCATGGTTTGGTGAATTCAACATTCTCGGATGTACCCTTTATTGCTCAGAGCGTTCAATTACGTAGATGGAGCATAAATTCCCAGAGGGTTATGTCCATATGTAGAACACATATGGGTTTCAGAAAAGTGAGAAAAACTCAATCAGGAAGTAGAATCGAGCCAACAGTGCTAGAACTGGTCGAAATTAGTTATCATATTTCTGGCTCGGTATTGAAAGAACACAGCCACAGCCAACAAAGACTGTCGCCGCAATATAGTCGTGTCGCCTGAAAACAGAATTTTCGCTTGGCGAAAGAGCCATATCATCGGCGACGGGCTCTGTTTGCTAGACGCCAGTTCCTACATGCCTCAGCAGCTTTCTGTGTTCGATAACATTTTCTAGTTTTTCGCAGCATTATTTCGATTCTAGTTGTGAAAGATATTCCTCAAATTTTCTACGTGTAAAAAATCCTATGTTTTTAACTCATTACGGATGGTCTTTCCAATGAGATATTTTTTATGCATATGACAATAATGTTAATCAAAATTACGCACATAACATACTTAGAACTTTTTGAGTCTCATCCACTCATTTTAAATCATTGCCGAAATAAATTTCAGGAATTAAAATAGAAATCCTCCCCATAGGAGTCGCCAAAAAACTGTAGGGAATATTTCAAGCATTACCCCAAACTTGAACCCCACTGTGATCATACACTTAAGCATGTGGCGTCCAAAGGGAAGGAAGCTAGAGCAAAAGAGTCGCCAACAAGTTTTAGGAACTTGTAAACCGTTCACAGGGTGAAGGTTACACCCCTTAACGATCCAAGAGATTGTCAACTCCAATAAGTCTGGAACCAAGACTGGAAATTCGGGGATGCAGGTACAAATCCAATCAAAAAGAGAAAAAACCTGCCCTAATAATAGGCCTCTACTTTATTCTTCTCGTATTCATGTGCGATTTCTGACTTACATGCAATCAATAGGTTTACCCTAAACCTGTTTAATCTATGTTGGTTGAATATTAATGCACAAATAAAACTATTATTGGTGATCACTTGAATTATAATCATAATAACCCTAAACAAGATTATTAATTATCTTATTAAGCGTGATTACAAGTACCAATTCCCTTTAAACATGCATAAAAGGTGTGATCAAGCAATAACAATAAATAAAAAGATAAAGCAACATAATAATAATAATCGTAAAAATCATCATAAAATAACAATCTAAGCATGATACTAAAAAAATCATCCTAACATGATACTAGGAATCAAAATAACAATCTAAGCATGATTTCTATATTATAATTTCAATTAAACAATTAAAGTACTTACTTGGATGTCTAGTATCTCTTTCTAATAACAAAATACACACGTTAGTAACTTCAAGGGAAATATAATAATGAAGAAAATAATTAAATAATTGAAATAGAGACTTGGGACTAAACCCTCAGAAATATCAAACCTTTCACGTCTAGGGTGAAGGCAACTTCGAACTTGGTTGGGTGTGTCTAGTGCTAATGTATGAGGAATTTTGTTTGTAAAAGGCTAGGCTAGAAAGAGGGAGAGAAAATCAAGAAATTCTAGATGAGAGTTGGTTAGCATTGGTGATTTGAAAAAGGGGAGATATAACCTCTATTTATAGAGAAAAAAGAGGGTCGAAGAATAAGAAAAGAATCTGAATTCGAATCGAAATAAAACTCGATGGACAGCAGTTTTTGCGGATTTTGTTTTTATCATATCTTTTTATCCATAAGTCCAAATAAGGCATATAATTTTTCGTTGGAAAGCACCTGAAGTCTACTTTACAACCCAATTGAATCATATTAAAATAATTTGTAGATAAAAAGATATGACCAAAATAGTGGAACGGTTTCAGTTTTGGATAGAGTTTCAGATTCCATTCATATCTTTTTCGTAATAGCTTGGATTTAATATTCTAATATATCTTTGGAAATATAATTTCAAAATCTATCCAACCATATAAATTTGGAAAAATATTATGAGGCGCGAAAATAATATTTGAATATATTTCACTTCGTACAAAACAAGGATTTTTAAAAGGAGTAGTTTTATTCAATTTCAAACTCTTTGAAACATAATTATCAATCCTAACTCCATTAGGACTTAAGAGAACTTTCTAGAATATTCTAGAAAAAAAGTTTCAATCCTAATTGCATTAGGAATGATAAATCATAATAGACCCTCCTCTAGATCATTGGGCCGCATATAAAGATCAAACTGGGCTCAGTTTAGTATTTTGGCCATAACTTTCTCATTATTCATCGGAATGGGCTTATAATATATCGTTGGAAAGGTTTTTTCAAGACCCATTCAACTACACTATTATTGGACCCATATCATGGACATTTCACACTTTTTCTTTGTTCGATAATCAAATGACATGAAAGGTATTCATCACTTGGTTTGGTTTTGGGCAGACACATTTGGGTGTCTACAAGGTTGCTAACTTAGTTTTCTTGGTTGTGGACAGGTGGCGGCTTGCATGCACAGATGATTTCACTTTATGGTGTCCTGCATGTACAGAGGAATAAGGATGTATTAGGATTAGGAATGTTGTAGGAATTTGTGGTGTTAAATTTTGTTTAACACTGGATTATTTTATTGTGTTGTAAGGAGTGTATTTAAGTGTCAAAATTTAACAATTACCTGTCATAATATTTGTTGTGTTACATTGTAATTTTTAGCTAGCTGATGGTGTTAAAATTCAAGAAGATTTAGTTTAGATTGATTTGTTTAGTTTGTAATATTTCGCATTTTAAATTTTGCAAAATCGAAAGTTGATACTTTTCACTGTATGTTGGATTTTTGTGCTAGAGGGATTTAGTTTGGATTAGTTTGTTTGGTTTATGGTGATTGGCCTACAGATTGTGCTAAATTAATGCTGATGATTAGTGCACATATAATATGCTGCTTTTAGGTAGATTGTACAATATTTTAAGGGATTGGCAAATACAAATATTGTCATGAGCTTAGTTGTCGTTTATTTAATCACTTTGTTTAGTTTGGAAGGATATGAATTGGACATTGTGCTTAATTTTAAGCTACATTTGTGTTTGTAATTAGTGAACATTTAGCTTGATGGCTTTATTTGCTAATTGTGTTGAATTTATGTGGTAGAGGATTAAGCCTAATTGTGGCTTAAAGTTGTTGGTTCCTTGTGTTTTGGAAGGTGCTGCTATGCTCAGATTATGATCAGGCGTGCTAGAAGTTACCAATGTCTTTTCTATTAATTTTTAAGGTTTATTGTGTTAGGTTTGACATTCAAAGGCTGGGGATGTGATTTGGCCGGTTTGATCTGCTAGAGTCAGCCTAAAACCCAGCAGTTGCTCCCTTTTTCCATTGGTTTTGTGGGTGTTTTTGTATTAGTAATGATAAAAATATTCTATCCCTTTAATTTTTTTTACTGTTAGAGACTTTTGCTCTAGGAGTCTTTGTGGTCTTCTAAGAGGCTTTGGTATGCAGAGCTCTTTTTTTTGGCTAATTTTGAAACAAAAAATTAAAAAACAAAAGGAAAAAAAATTGGGTTTATAAATAGGGTCTACATTCAAGGAGTGAGGGCATGGAGAAAGGAAGGAAGGAACATTCTACAAGGTTGGAGCATACATTGACGTTGAGGTACAATTTTAAACTTAATTGCTTTTAAGTTAAGACTATATGATCAACAAACTTTATTATTTTGCGGTTGAGCTGTAATTTCAAGTTTGCTTTCAAGTAAGATTCCATGATTAAAAAACTTCTCTATTTTACGAGCTCATTGTTCACATTCTCATTGCTTCAGTTGGATTACTTAAATGGACATACCGAATGTGTCTTCTGCTGGTTTGGTGTGCAACTTATGCTGCCTTTGTTTGCTGGTGAAGTATTGCAGGCTTCTTTTCCTTTGCTGCTGAAGTAAGCTTCTTGAGTTTTGGTTATCTTGTCTGACCCTCTATATACTAAAAAAATGCTCTTCTTGGTTGCTTCTATTCTAGTTTGGTGGTCATCTATGTAGATTGTGGGCTTTATTTTGAATGTTGTATTTGTGTTTCCTTTTGAGGATTCAGCTTGTGAGCACTGATGTTTCTCTGTATGTTTCTTTTTTATATTAGCTTCAATTGTTTTGTCTTTCAGAAGAGAAGTGTTCTTGTAAGTGTCACTTTAGTCATTTTAATTCCATGATACTTTGTTTGTGTGCAGCATATTTTCCACATTTTCATGGTTTTTTAGTGTGGTAGAAAATTATGATTATTTGTGCAGTTTGTAGTTCATATTAGAGATTTAAATGTTGTGAATTACGTAATATTAGATGCTCCTTCATGAATATGGTTAGTTTTGCCATTTTGATTTTTTATGCTTGCTTTCTACTTTTGCTAACTGTAACAGTTACATAGCTTGCGTGATTATATCTTCATTTCTGATTTTGAGATTTTTGCTTGAATGCAACATCTTTTATATTTTTACATTGTTTATTACTATGATAAAGTATTGTGGTCTAGTCAACAGTTTGTGGTTCATGTCGAGGAATTCTCTCTAGATGTTTAGTCGATTTAGGCAGGTAGTTTGGTCTTGTTTACTTGTAGTTTAGAGCTTTGCTTCTCTACTTTCATATATATGATTGTTTGTGTTAGGATGCATGTTAAAGGCATGGGTTGTGTGATTAGTCTCTTAAGGTATGCATGTGGCTGGGTTCATCCTACAACCATAAGAGCCTTTGACTTAGGAAGAAGGTTTTCCTTTGGATTTTATGTTGGCTTGGGCAGGTAGGTTAGTCTTGTTTACTTGTGGTTGAGGACTTGGGTGTTCTGCTTTCCTTATACGTGGTTTTTGCTGTTAGGATGTACATTAGAGGCATGAACGTGTTATTGTGTTGCTTGTTCATACGAACATGTGATGGACAATCGCTCTCGGGATATATCCAATTCCTATTAGTGTTTGCTGAACCAGGTCGTGGCATGTTTGGAACTACCAGCTCCTCTTTACACTCTGTCTGTGAATGGTGGGAATTCTGTTGAGCTACACCTTGATAGAGGTGACGTGTTAGGGACCTATGTGTACAATGGCGGCCCACCTGATACCCTCAAAGCCACAATTGAAAAAGCATCTAAGCAAGCTGTAATGGGGCTGAGGGCTAAATTTGGTGTCCAGGTTGATGACCTCCTAAGTGAAAGGATTGGCAAGCTAGAGCACTGTGAATTCTTGTATGAGATGAAGAGTTTGGGTTTGGAATCTATTGAAAAGCCTAATGGGAAGGCACCTGTGAGGTGGCCTTCTAACCCAATAAAGAAGCGTGCTACTAAGTATGTCTGCGTTGTTTACCAAGATGTTCTGCGCACTTTGGCTGCTAAACCTGGAGCCCGTGTCTCATCAGTTGAGGTTATGCAGATAGTTGGTAAGAAGTGCAATGCTTGGCTTACAAAATGCATTCCACTCACTTCTGATGGCCTAGAGTGTGTATACAGTTCATTGGATGGGAAATGCAAGACTGTTGCCTGAGATGCGACAAAGAAAGGAGTTAGTTTCTGACGAGGGGAAAACTAGGTCGTTATCTAATCTTCCCTCGGTCAAACTAAATTTATAAACACTTAACAAACCCTAATACGATTATAGAGGCAAGTCAAGGGTCGAACCCAAAGGAACGGTAATGTTCAAGCACTTTTAATTATGCGCCTAAGTTAGGTCGAAGACGAAGGTAAGAGAGAATACTAACAACTAACAAAACAAGTAACCAAGGAAATAAAACACTAGGAACGGGGATCAACAAGTAATCATGTCAATTGCAACAACTTGGGAAGAGCATGCCAATCAAAGGTTGTGAGGACTAATGATAAGAGCAATCAATAGGAATCAAAGAGCTATCTCCTAATTGTTAAGCTAGGGTTCACTATGAATAACAAACTAAGAGAATCTCAATCAAAACCAATCGATAATTGCAATTCCTAAATCAATTGTTCATGTCAATAGCAATTACAATGCAATCTAGCATAATTCTCAAGGCCTAATTGAATTACACACATGCAAACCTTCACTAATCACTTTAATCTCAACAATCAATCAACACAATTTCCAAATTAATCACAATAAATCAATCATACAAGTTTCACCCAATTCCTAGCCAAACAACTATTCAAGAATCGTCATCAATCAACTAACAACTATGGAAATCAAGAATCAACAAAATATCAAGAACAATTATACTAATCAAGCATCAAACATCAAAATTAAACCAAACAAACATGAAATTAAACAAAACAATAAGGTGAGATAGAGTTAAGAATGCTCATTGGTAATAGAGAAGATCTTGAACACAATTGTCACCCTTGTATTTTCAATCTCTCAATCCCATTGAAATCCTTCACTTTCTCTCTCTAAAACTACTCCTAATCTAGCCTAATCTAGAGAGAGAAGCTCTCAACCTAAGAGAGAAAACTATTCTAAGACTAAGAATTATGTGAATGAATGATAATAATAACCCCCAAAAACAATCTATAAACAAAAGGAGAAAAGAAACTTAAAATCGTAAAAGACCCAGAAGTCCGCGCCCTCAGAGAAATCGGTCGCGCCCGCGGACACCCCGGAAGCCGCGCCCGCAGACAAAGCCCGAGCCCACGGGGCCAAGGCCCGCGCCAGCGGAAAGCCCGCGGCCAGCCCGTGGAGAGTTACTGCCCAAAATGGCAGAAATGGGTTACGGCAGATTTGCAGGGCCAACTTTGGAAGGCTTTAACTCACGATCTAGGAATCTATGAAGGCCTGAAACCTATCATTGGAAAGCTCTTCAAGTCTAGTTTCTAACCCAACTTGAACCACCTCAATCCAATCTGCAGACCTCAAGATATGGCCGAAACAATGCACAAAGGTCCTTTTTGATACTTTGTAAGCCTTCATTTTCCTTTATTTTTTTGGATTGGCTTGACTTGCGTGCTTGGCTTCCCTAACTTGGCTCCGTTAAATTCCTTGAGTTCACTTGAGCTCCCTCCTTGATGATTAAATCCCGAGAAGCTCGACACACCTACAAAACAAGTCAAACAAACGGAGAAGCGAGGGAAAAAGCCGAGAAATGAATAAAATAATAAGAAAACCACTAAAAGCACGCATTTCTCTAAACTAACACACAAACACGCAAATCAAGCATTATTCCCTAAAAACACGACATAAACGACTAAAAACAAGCATAGAAATATAAAGAAAACATAGTCTAAAGGTGTCATAAATGGCACGGATCAAATTCCCCCAAGCTAAACTTTTGCTCGTCCTCGAGCAAAATAAAATCCAACCCAAGGGAAAAATGATGAATTTATTCAATCAAATAAAGAAACAAGAAAGATAGAGGATGAGAATATACACTAACTCACTTTCGTAGGAATCACAGTCAATTTTAGCAACTAAAGACAAGCCATTTAAACACCTAGATCGCCCTAGAGGACGAGTGATGCTCTCATAAAGGTTTCCTAATAGATTAAACCATAACTCTCATAATAATACAAACAAGGCAAATCATAAAGAAGGAAATCAAAAGAAAAGAAGAGCAAACACATGTTCATGGAAGGACTTTTTAAAATGTACAAGCACAAATGAATGCAAATCTTTCTAAATAAGTAAGGGAGTGCACGCTCCAAGATACCTAAGGTTGATTGAAACATAAATATGCTGAGACTAGGAACTAGTTATCACACTCCACTTTCATCCCAAACAGTATTACCGTGTTCCCCCTATTAATCTCATATCTCCCCTTAGTGAGCGTCTCATAGATTCCACGAAGGAACCGGAAAAAGATCAAATTTTTTGCTTACTCGACATCTTGTCTTCGCATCCCCTTTCCTTAGGCTATAACCCATGATTCCCTCCACCGATGAATGACTCAACCCCTAGGTCAAAAGGTCTTCCCAAAGGTTGTAACGTAAGTTAAAAAGGGTTAAGGTAGGCTAAATATAAAATTTTGTGGTTAACCTAAATTGTGAAGCAAAGATTGCGCATTTCTTTACACCATAACCAAGTAATCACCAAACAAAAATACCAACACCCCCAAGCTTATTCAAAGTTAAGATCACAAACATATACACAAAAAGCGTGAGAACGCTTCCCCCTTAGCTTAAATGGAGCATTGTCCTCAATGCTAAAAAAGGAAGAATACTCAAATAAAATATTTTTGCATTTTTCACTTTTTTTTTTTTATAATCCTTTATTAGTGCTTTGCCCTCGCCTCTTTTAAATTTGAACGACTTTTTAAACTTTGCACTTGCTTTGTCCTTGCCTTTTTTACTTTGGACGACTTTTTCACTTATTCACTTGCCATTATTCACAAAATATACACAACACAAACTTGCTTTCAAGAGAACCAAATATCCTAACTCCTCCACTGCAAACTCCAACAATAATGAACAATTGCTTCACAAAAACCAAGAATGAAAATGAAAATGAAACAAAAGGCTCAAGAGCTAAATACGTGGCTTGAAAATAAGGGGAAAAGGCTCAAAGGGTTAGCAAGTAGGCAAATGTAAACCCAAAAATTGAAGAAAATGAAAACTATCCTAGAAAAGAAAAAGTACCACCCCGAAAAGATGCCTTTGTCCTCCCTAGATGGTTCAGTCACGGTCTTAGGAATCATACGTTAAGATTCAAGATTAGGTTTGCGAAAGTCAAGGATCCACGCCACTCATGCAAGAAAATGTTGAAAGCTCGAGAAAGTATGAATCTCACATGGTTGTAGCAAAAACTCACTAAGGTTGTCAAATCGAAGATAGGGAGCAACTACCAACATGCCACAAACAAGTAGAATCCGGTTTCATGATCCCCCTAGTTCTAGACAACTACCTTAGCATACTTTATCCTAGAATCAACCAAAGTATCTCAAACCGTGCACACCACTACCATTTAGGAAGAAAAGCATTCAAGTATACAAGTCCAAATGTTATTATGTCCAAAGCAAGAACAAAACAAAACACAATACAATTTTTCCTTGATAGAAACAAAAATATTTTTGGAGTATTTCAAAATATGAGAACATGGAAAAACATATACAAAGGTGCATGACATATATGAATCAACATTCCACCAAACATGATAGAATACCCTCCCCCAAGCTTGAATGAGACAACATGCTCAAACATAAATTAAATATTCCACGGGAGGGGAAAACAAGGAGATTAATCCAATCAAACCAACATATGTCCAACAAGTCATCATCCACTAGAGAAAGAGCAAGGAAGGATATTATCGGATATTAGGTGGGTGAAAATACCCGCAAATGACCCAATTTTAACCTTTCAAAGCTAACAACCTCTAATATTGAATCTTGCCTTCTATATGCTAGCAAATGTGGTGCCAATCTTCCTTGATTCTTGATCCAAATAGAAGCACCAAAGTATATCAAGTCATGTACCTAGAAAAAGGAACACAAATATTTCCATGAGAGAAAATCTATTCTAAAAAGAAAAGAAAATGAAAGCAATAAAACACGGGTTACTTCCCGAGGAAGGCTTGCTTAAGGTCCAAGCTTGACCGCTCTAGAAAATAATAATTCAACGCGCGCAAGAGCTTGTCAAATGCACTACTACACATTTCATAGGAGATAAGGTAGGCAAATGACACGAAGAGTACGTGCAACAAGGATAGTGCACGCAAATGAGGAGAGAGATGCCAAGAAAAGGAAGAGGAAGAATCAAAAGAAAATTCAACAAAATATGAAGAAAAAGAAAAAGAAGGCAAACTCTCCTCAAAATATTTTTGGGTGGCAACATCACCCTTTTCCTCAATTGGGGACAAATGAGCTTCATACAAATCATCATAGACAAAAGGGTCCCCAATAGGCTCATTAACAAAAGAAGGGAGGGAAATAGGAGTGTAAGGGATATGGTTGAATCTTCTTGAAAAAGGGGTATGAGAAAAGAGAAAAGGGGTTATGGTCTCACAAATGAACTTTTTCTCACCACCATGCCTCAAATCACCAATAAGAGCATGGAAATCAATCATAGAGTCCTCAAAAGAAGAACACTCATGATATCCATCTCCCTCAAACATCCACCCTCTAAGAGGAACAACATAATCCCCTCCATCACAACTATGCACAACAACTCCATCAACAACTTTAAAGCCCAAGGTCTCAAAACCATGCATGAATGGATGCAAATTCATTTCAAACTCATCTCTCTCCCATAAAGCATCCTCAATGAACTCATTTAAAAGGGTATGGGTTTTCTTTTGACTCTCAAATAATGCATTGGTCATAACCTCAATCGAGTCGAAATACTCATGGATAGAAGAGTCACAAATATGCACATGAGACTCATCAAGATGGGAAAGAGGGTTAGAAATTTCAATATCAACACTCTCTTCATTCTCAACTCCTTCACCATCACTCAAATGCTCACCAATGGGATCCTCACACTCTCTTGGTTGCTCAAAATCATCATCATCATCCTCAACACACACATTAAATTGGGATTTATCACAAACAAGCATCAAGGATGACAATTGGCTTTCTAACTCTTCTCCTCTTC